ACTCGGTTTCTTTTACGAGATTTCACGGCTGGACAATTCATAATAGAAAAATATAATTTCTTTAATTTTACTTTTTTTCATCTGAAATTTTTTTAACATGTTGGTGAGATTTTTCTGATGCAAATGATAGCAAACACGATATAATTTGAACAACATTTACTTATTACACGTTCACTGTCTGGCGTGACAAAATTTCGGGATAAAAAAACGTAAAATTAAAAAAGTTGGTATTTAAATCGCTTGGTTACCTCGACTCACGTTTCATCCTTATCTTTTATTCGCTGTCCTTGTCTACGTTCGGCAAACTACAAAGGCGGGCGCGAGGCTCGAAAACGTAGTCCCTGACTCTACAATTGTCAGGTTAGCTTCCTTGTGGACTGACACTTGTGGAGAATTTACTATAATTCGGTGTATATTTAGTTACTTAATAAGAAACGGTGTTACATTCTGTGATGTAAACAGTGAAATGAACGTAGCGGGCAAAGGAAGATTCACAAGCCCAATCGACACAACCAAATTTTGTAACAATATCGTGTTTGGTATCATTTTAATCAGGAAAATCTCACCAATATTTTGATGAAATTTTTATTAACAAAAAATTGAAAATAACAAACTTTTGTAGTTTTGTTAGCATTGTCTCACGGACATGCCGACGCCGAATGCGATAAAGAGATGCCGCGGCCGTGTCACATTACTCGCTTGCCTGGATCAAGGGTGGTCCCCCCTTGTGGTGGGGATAGACCATGAACAGTCATGGCGTAGATCCGAAAGAACTCTTATAGAACTTTTACTGTAATATGCTGGCTGATTACTGCAACCCACACTCAAACAGGATATTCAAGCAAAGTATTCCAGGAAATCAACAAATACCACATTTTAGGTAATGTTCTACAGCTTTTAAATATATAGGATTATACGAGTTATTAAATATTAAACTGTGTATCACAAAAATCCTGCATGATGGAAACAAACGGATTGTATACAGGGTGTCTGTTTTATCTCAATACAGTGAAATATCTTTTAAGGTAGTGATGTTAGGAAAAAAATGTTTTAACAAAAGTTGTTTGATACGAGGGGGACGTTATGTGGTGTAAATATTTTTTTTGTACCTGATATAATGGAGGAGATTTCAAAGTCGGTTTAATTTTTTTAAATGGAATGCTATATTTTTTTATACACAATATGATAGTGTATGTTAAGACGAGTTTAAGGATAATAATGGAGGACATGTGGAGGGGATACCCATAGAAGGAAGTTTTCAATAATTCAAAATTGAACAAATTGGTAGGTACTTATTGTACTCGTTGAACTCGTCTTAACATACACTATCATACTATGTATAAAAATATATAGCATTCCATTTAAAAAAATTAAACTGACTTTGAAATCTCCATCATACCCGGTACAAAAAAAAATGTATATCACATAACGTCTCCCTCCATACCAAATAACTTTTGTTAAAACATTTTTTCCCTAACATCATGTATTGAGATAAAACAGACACCCTGTATATGAATTCAGCATAAAAAATACTATTAAAATCGCATATTAAACCTTATGTATAAAAAAAAAAAAAGTAAAATTTTGTAGACCAGTGTTATGAGTAATTTCAGATTATTTTCATGTTATGATTAAAAAAGTAGACGATCTTTATCTAAACTATAACAACACTCACAAGTAGGCATATAATTCCATATCCGCAAGGGAAATATAAAAATTGTGTAGTTCACTAATTAGACACTGCGTATTCAAAAAATCAAGTAGATGAAAAAAAGATTACACGAATCATTTGTTTATCATTTACAACTCTACAAAATTGCACAGCTTTGCTTAAAGAAATTAATTTGACTTCTCGTGGCTTCTCGATAAAACATTTTCAGACATGCATTCGTATACTTTTTGTTTAATAGGTGTTAAATATTTTTCAACGTTCTACCCATATGCTAAGTTTCATAAATATCGGAGATTGCCACTTCGGTAATATTCCTTGTATGTACAAATAAAATTGAATTACGCGTGGACCTGTTGAATTCAAATATCAAATACATAGATATGTCACGAACCGTAAAGGATTAATATTGTATAGCAATACGTATTGAAGTAGGTGAGAGGCGTGCAGTACCGATCAGATATTAGCACTTTATTTGAATAAACAAATAAATATAACAATTCTGTGCAACATATTTCGGGGCCATATTGTTTATTCCACACTTCTCGATGTTCTGACGCGTTAAACGTATACGTCGATATTCATTATATTGAAAGTTATTTTTGGGAGTTGGTCTTTTGTTTCTTAAGTAAATAAATGATTTTGTTCTATATTTTTGGTGTATATTATCATTATACACCATGATCAAAAACGTTTTCACGTGCTTGTCGTACAATGCCGACCACCTAACTGTCGTCCTGTACCGACCAATCTGTTGGTAATTGAAATTAAATTAGAAGATGTTCATTCAGTCTTTTTTCCATAAGAAAAGATGTGACAATCCAACAAACAGGCGGTTAGACTTTAGCAAACAAGGAATTTGCAAGGAATCATTTGACGAAGATTGGGTGCAGTGTATCGAATGTGAAGATTGGGCACACGTCGAATGCACAAATCAAGAAAACATTATTTACTTGCGACGTTTGTAAAAATAAAGCTAAATTAGAAATGTTCTATTCTAACATTTAAACGTCTTTTTTCAACATTATTAATCATTTAGACCAAAAAATCTACTTATCAAATAATTGGTCTGTGCCGGACGACAATTTTTCGTTTCCTACAAGCTACAACTTCTTTACTCTTGCGAATTCAATTTCCCTTCTTTTATTAAGCTCCATTTGTACTCCAAAACATTTTTTTAAGTTTTGATTTTTACCAACTCTAGCCCAAGATGTAAGAAAAAAAGCTGGAGTGGTCGGGACTGCACGACTCTCCCATATAAAAGGTATAATCATATTTGTAATAGCAACCTGAGAAAGTAGTCATTGACGAAGTCGGGATGCTCGTCGAGCCAAGCCTCCATGCGGGCGTACTCTGGATCGTAGACGGCGGAAGTCGAGGAGTAGTAACCACCGGCGGATTTTCCATCTTGCACCTGTTGCAATGTGCCCTGACCTGCCATGGCAGTCTGCACCCCTTGCATCCCCTGTACACAAGGAGCTGCCGTCTCCGCCGTCATCCTCGGCTCTTCGATGCTCCGCAAGTGCAGGCCTACTTGACAAACCAACCATTATCGTCATTACGTGTCCTTTTAACATCTCGATCCTCGAATTATCCTTCGATATGAAGTTTTCCTTCGAGATTGAAAGCATATTTAACACGTTCCGTTTCGCGTGGATTTTCTCTGGATTTTCCGTTCGGGCCGTTTGATATTTCCGCCTTTTCCTTCCTGTGACTTAAACTGTACAACTACGACGGTAATTGATTAAAACAAAAATTTTTTCATTGCTCTTTCTCTTGATAACAATGATTTTCGCAGTCTTACGAATATTATAAGATATACATGTCAAATGCAAAACTGTTTGTCTGGACAACGTGGGGCGCATACGACCCACGCGGCGTCAACGGAAAGTCACCGAAAATTGTTCCGGTACGGAACGTGTTAAAGTAGTAGGCACATTTAGTTAAATTTGTACCTGTTTCACAGTTTTATTTAACACAATTTCGATATTGTACCGTACGAATTTTTGTCTCAAGCGAGGGTCGCTTGTGTAAACATTTGCAACTCATCGGTAAGTATTGAGTATAGTATTTTCATAAATTATGATACTTTGTCAAACATAAATAAAATGTTGAAGTGTGAAGTTTCTCTTTAAAACACTTATTACAATATTGGGTCGAGCAGAAAATTCTTACCGATTTTTGATAGATAATGTTTGAATAGGTTAGAACAAATAAAACTCGATGAAAACATTGAAGTTCGCATGTATTCTGAAAGATCGAGATATTCTTTCACGCGTCTTTTTCAAATTTTATTCACTATAATTGCTAGTTCCTTGTCGGAATCATAGTATTTTGAAGATGGAAGAAAATAGAATAGATTTCCGATACTTAATCTTCTTCTGAACTTTGGAAACCTAAACACTAATCGTAAGACCCAATTCTATGGTTTTGTCATACAGAGAGAGTAAATATTTCTTCATCTTTACCCTTCTTTATTGTCATAAGATTAAAGATCTAAAAGACCTTAATGATCTTAGAGACCTAACCAACAGAAAAATTAAACGAACTATAATGAAACTACGCACCCAATGAATTATAATCAAAGTTCCCCAGAAAAATGCCCTTATTTCTTAAAATCGCAACATATTACCGACATTCATTTAGGACAAAATTCATGGCAAAAACGTGGAAAATTAGCAAGCCCGTTTAAAATTTTTAAACTGTAAATATCGAACCTAAATCACATTCTTATACAAATAATATTCGGTTCGTTTATCTAAAGCCCTCTGCTGTCATTTTAAGTCACATAATTAAACAAAATTCCTTACGTCAATCCTGAGGAAACTCATTAAAAGCAAAACTGTTTCAGCATATTATAGGGTAGATTACACGGTAATCATTCTATGAATAGGAAGATAAGGAAAATAAATAAAATAAAAGACAAAATGTGAAATGTCGAGAAAATTTTACATGTAAAAAAAGAGTTCAGAAGTATATTTTACAATACACTGTTGCATTTGTATAAAATTTCCTGTCAAAATTTCAAAAACCCAACAATAATTTTTGCTAGAATATTAACCAACCATGACACAATAATCGATTTATAATTAAAAAAGAGAAAAATTTTAATTTTACAACTAGTTACATCTAACTATCTAAATTATTAACATAGCAAAAAATAGTTACCCCAACTGATTTACCTTTCTTCAAAAAATTATTGAAATTTACAATAACGCACTTGGTAAAATTTTCTATGATGATCTGTGAAAAATGTGGATAAACCTTTTTTCTTTGCGTTAGGTATTCCTTCAAACATGTCTTTCCATTACCCTAGTAGAAATAAGTATACCTACGTTAATTTTTATTGATCTAGTTTTAACGTTTTACACTTATCTCCGTTCAATAAACTAATTAATATGCATCTATCAATTCTTAGCATTTTCACCTCGCGATAAAACTTGTTAATTTGTTGACTGTGGTGCAGATAGTAGAGCTATACTATCCAGTACGACGATGTTTAATATGAGTGTTGCGTTGCAATTGTACCTAAACGCGAGGAAGCCTCGGTCTGACGGATAATCGTTATAAAATTCATTAGCCACATTTGGCCGTCAGACCGAGGTGCTTAACTCACATCGACACGCTATAAACCTCCTTGGACAGAACTATCGCCGCAATAACGATGACAAACATTGCCTATCCCAAGGACCAAATGCTCGGGCTAGCAGCCACGACCGGGCAAATGGTTTTACCTCGAGACTCGAACACCACAGACGTTAGGTCTAACAGAAGGGGACCTTTCAGTCATAAAACTGTATCGTTTTTCCAACGTTAGTATTTTTAACAACAGTTCTCTTCTTCCAGAAAGCACCGCGTCAGACACACCCCTAACCTAACACACACACACACACACACCAATAGAAAAACACAACAACCATTAGAAACATGTAACGACTGACCACTCACACGAAACCCATGTGAAGACATTCTGAACGGTGTGACCCACCGGTAGGTCATCGATGCACTTGTTTGCTGACATGACCCATCGATGTGTCATTCAAAATGATAGCAGAAAAGATTGAGTAGATGGTGTGATTCTACGGTAGATCACCGCATTTTCAGATTACATACTGAAAGATGAAGTATTCGTGACAATACACACTTCGGTCATAAGAAACGCTGGCAGTAGTAAGCGTTTTGTGAATTTCGCTGATGTCCTGAACGTGTTAAGACGTTCAGGACGGTGTGACCCACCGGTGGGTCATTGAGTGATGTTTTTATTTGTCGATGTGACCCACAGATGGGTCATTCCGGCATGAATGACAAGAGAGATTAATTAGACGACGTGACCCACAGATGGTGTTCGGGTCGCGTAATGTTCGATGCTTAATTGCCGAACCGGTACGCGAGTTTAATCACACCTTGATTTATTCACTATTAACAGAGTGATACTTGAGGTGATGTCGCTGTTTAGGTGGGACGCAGCTCCTTCCAAGGGAAAGGGATTGTTGCTAACATTAGAAAACCCCATTTTTTGGGTTTTTCCCAGGGGTTGCCGCGTGACTTTCCACCGCGCACGCGACCTCTCCACGGGGGGTACGGTACGCGCGAGAGGACCGGTACCTCGGTCTGGCGGCCAAGTGTAATTGAACAAGTTTATGACGATAATCCGCCAATCCGAGGGTTCGTCGCGATTTCTTGCGAGGCAACAGATGGGGCCGCGTGACTTTCCACCGCGCACGTGACCTCTCCACGGGGGGTACGGTACGCGCGAGAGGACCGGTACCTCGGTCTGGCGGCCAAGTGTAATTGAACAAGTTTATGACGATAATCCGCCAAACCGAGGGTTCGTCGCGATTTCTTGCGAGGCAATCGATGGATCATCTCGACATAGATGACAAAAAAGATCGAATAAACGGTGTGACCCACCGGTGGGTCACCACATTATTTTACATTTTACGAGGAAACACATATTTCACAAGTGATTAGAAACTGAAAAAATAGGTATTAATAATAATAAACACTTCGGTATAACCGAAACATCCGGTCATAACAAACGCCGGCACTAGCGAGTGCATCATGAATTTCCCTGTTGCCCTGAACGTGTTAATAAAAGCACAAACGCAGCCACTAATACGAGATTCTTCAGAAAAACACGAATAATGGTAGACTTGTACATAGAACGTGATAAAACACGGAAAGAACACTATATAATCATATCACAAGAAAACACGAACATACTACTTTTCAACCAGGCTTGCGTGATTAATTTCATAAAAGCCAGCGTCTCGATACACCGTCGTGAACAGGTGTAAGCGGGATTTATGACTCCGCGAAATTCTCCAAACAAATTACGGTGTACGGGACGCAACAACGTGTGCGAGTTTACTTTCTACGTTTTCTATTAATTTATGTCAATATTTTATTCAGGCTACTACACATATTGTAAAAATATTTATATTCTTCATTATCATTGTATGATTAGGTCATCCCGTAAGTTCATGCCGAAAGCGAAAAATATTTTAATGAAAATCCATGCAATAGAAATAGAATAAAAATACTATAGCAATGACATAATGGTCTAAGAAAAAAAAATTGAAAAAATGAGGAATGAGAATATGGTTGTATAACACTTGATAATAAGTTAAATAGCAATATATTTTATAACAATAACTATAAACACACGTAAAAAGAAATAATGATAATTTGATCAACGCTCTCTAAATATGTATATCTCGCAATAAATTCTCACGTACTCACTGATATCAATAACAACGCGCTTCACTTGTTTTACCCCCAGTTACCTTGTATGATCCGCTCGTTTACCAAATCTCGAGACGATTCGATATACTCACTACATTCACGCCATCACTCACATCTTATTATTAAACCAATTCCACAGAGAAAGCGCTTACGTTTTTTTTTTTCTAATCAAATTTGAAGGTTCCTTGGAAATATTGATCTAAATTATAAAATTCGACCCGAACTTATGGGATGCCTAGTACACTAATTTTAGTTACGTATATGGCATTTTGTATAATACTTATCACAATTCATGCGTTCAAAATTTTGACATTTATGACATTTCATTTGTAACCTATTTTTATAAGTGCTTTAAACCTAATTCTTTGTAAAAGTTTACGAAAGAGCTTACCGTGGCACAGCAAAACTTCCTGCAGGCCGTTTTAAAAGTTAAAGAAAATTTTACTCGATTTAAAGATTGGCTTGTAATTCGAGATACTTGTAAAATGTATTTTCTGCAAGTTTGCAATCAATTTCACATGATCATAGAATTTTGTATAATTAAAAGGAAAAACAAAAAATAACGTGATCAAGGGCTTTAAGTATTCCATACTTACTCGACTGAGGCAACTGCAAATTGATTTCTTAAAAATTTAACGAACTGAACTTTTTTACTTTTTTTAATTAATATTCTTTCAATAAATTAAACATAGAAAACGAAATCAGAATTTGATGATACAATTTTCCTAACCAGTGAATGTTTTATAATGTTTATAATGTATTTTTCGTTTAAACACGTAA